TGGGCCGTGGCTCACGCCGTCATCCCAGCAATCTGGGAGCGAGGCGGGAGATCGCTCTGGTCAGGAGGCGAAACCAGCCTGGCAAGGCGAAGACCCCGTTCTACTATAAATAGAAGAGAAGTCAATTGCCCACTAATATAATAGAAAATATCGGGGCGATGGTGGCGGCACTGCCTAGGTCTCCCAGCTACTCGGGAGGCTGAGGCAGGAGATCGCTTGAGCCAGGAGTTGGAGGTTCTGTGAGCAGAGGCTGACGCCACGCACTCACTCTAGCCTGGGCAACAAGTGAGATCGGTGTCTCAAAAAAAAAAAAAAAAAAATCTGGTTTCCAAAATTACAGGTGCTATCTTGGTGCAAAGGGTGCAAATGATATTCTTTTTTTTTTTTTAATCTTTTACTGTTCTCTCCGTTCCCAGGTGTGTTTCAGAGAAGCCGTGTTCTCGCTGCTGCCCCGCATGAGGTACGGGCTGTTCTACAACACGCCCCTGGTAAGTCAGCGCGCGCCGCTTCAGGGTTGGGGGTGGCGTTTGCAGGGACCTCGAACCCTGTCCATCGCGGCGTGCGCTGGCGTCTTCCCCGCAGATCTCCGGCTGCCAGAAACCCCGGCGTGTTCCGGCGTTTTCCCAGCATCTGCCGCGCAACGTCACACAGGAGGGGACCCAAGTAGGCCACGGCGCGGGCTCCGAGCTGCGTGTGAGTTTTCATCTTTCTAAAAGTCAGCACCGTCTTTTTCCCAAAAAGAAATACTCAGACACTGTTTTCGTCTCTTTTTCTCATTATAATCACAAGAGATTTGGTAGTGCCACAAACGATTTGTTTGTTTTTTTGAGACAGAGTCTCACTCTGTCGCCCAGGCTAGAGGAGTGCCGGGCGTCAGCCTCGCTAACAGCAACCTGCCGACTCCTTGCTCAAGCGATCCCTGCCTCAGCTCCCGATAGCTGGGGACTACAGGCATGCCCACCACGCGCCGGAGATTATCTCTCGTCCCTGTGAGGGAGGCTGACGCCACGGCACTCACTCTAGCCTGGGCAACAAAGCGAGACTCTGTCTCAAAAAAAAAAAAAAAAAAAGACGTACTCGCTGTGACTTTTAGGAGGATTAACTGAAGGGAACCGAAGTCACTTAGAAATGCGAGCACAGTTTACATGCCCGGTCAGCGATACTCGTGACCGTCGGTGTGGCTGTCAGGGTGTGGTGTTTGCCGCGGGCAACGTGACACGAACACCGAAATTTCTGGTTGGTGCTGCTCCGTGACGCCGCATGGCGAGGAACGCAAAGAGCCGTGACCGTGTTCCTGGCAGTGGATAAACCACGCCTTCCCATTTTCCGTTGGCTTATAGAATAACTGTTTTTCCAGGTAGAGACATTGAAAATGCTTTCCCGCCAAGACTTTAGTATTCTCAGAGGATGGGATCCAAAGTGCCAGTGGGTTTTGTCTGCAGTGAGACGACGGTTGGGAAGCAAACTCCTAACGTAATGTCTGCAACGTGGCAGGTGCCCAAACCGTATGACAGAAGTTGAGGGAACGACCGGCCAGTGGTGACCGTGACAGTAATCGCAGCGTGTTTCTGGGCCGAGCTCCTTGCCCCCCACGAGTCTTCTCCTTTCAGCCTCGTAACAACCCCGGGCATTGGAATTTTAGGGGAATTGGAATTTTAGGGGAATTGGAATTTTAGGCGGCATTGGAATTTTAGGGGAATTGGAATTTTAGGGGAATTGGAATTTTAGGGGGAATTGGAATTTTAGGGGAATTGGAATTTTAGGGGAATTGGAATTTTAGGGGGCATTGGAATTTTAGGCGGCATTGGAATTTTAGGGAGGTGATATATTCGGGGCTAGAGCCTGGGTTTGAACTCCGTTACGGTTCAAAACGACCTTAAAGGCATTAAATGGCTGAAAAAAATATTTACCTGCAAAAAGGAAGACGTTTTCGGACTCCTGAAGGAAAAGCTAAAACAGAAGGGAGGGAAGGAAAGGAAATTCTAAATGTTTCTCTCTTTTCCCAGCTCGTGAACGCGCTGAAGACAGTGTCTATGTTCGAAGTCCAGGTTGTTGATTACAAGTACAAGTGAGTAACAAGGCTCGGCCGGACGCTGTCGGCTTTTGCTTGGATGAGTGTGCGGGGGGCAGAAAGCGTTGTTCACCAGCGGGAGCCGGGGGCACCTGTAGACCCAGGAGGGACAGGCAGAGCCCATCCATGAACGGCATGGC